TGCTCGTTTGTCACCCCAACTCCATAATAAAAAAGGGAATATTATTTCAATTACTGGAAAGGTTTCGCCAAGGTTAAAATCGGTTACAAAAATAATCATCAGCTTCTTCTTCACCATCATATTAAACATAAAAAGTAGACACGAATCTACTCCTACTTTGAGTAGGATTTTTCCATACTAGTCCTTTATGGTATGACGGAATAATAAATTATAACTAATTTGAATGTAAACTCACGAGCGACCGCTCAGACCCGTCCAACTACCGGCCTATTGCCATCACCTCCTTGTTCTCCAAAACCCATTGTTGTCCATTGTAAACTGCCAGCTCATGAGGTACCTTGAGGATCACCAGCTGATTAGTGACCGCCAATACGGTTTTCGCCGTGGTCGGTCAACTGGTGATCTTCTGGTCTACCTAACTCACAGATGGGCGGAGGCAGTAGAGTCCAATGGGGAGGCATTGGCCGTTAGTTTGGACATTGCGAAGGCCTTCGATCGGGTTTGGCACAAAGCGCTTCTTTCGAAGCTCCCTTCCTATGGGCTTCCCGAGAAATTGTGCGATTGGATCACCAGCTTTCTTGCAGATCGGAGCATCAAGGTCGTTGTAGACGGTGCAAGCTCCGATTGCAAGCATATTAATGCTGGTATTCCACAAGGCTGCGTGCTATCGCCATATCTGTTTCTTCTGCATATCAATGATATGTTGCAAACCCGTAACATTCATTGCTATGCAGATGACAGCACTGGTGATGTTCTATACACCGGCCGAGCCAATATTTCTCGGGAAAACGTCTCCGAGTGCCGGGACAAACTTGTGTCTGAAGTCGAGTCTTTGCTAAACAGAGACTCGGATTAGGGGCGACTAAATCTAGTCCAGTTTAACCCCCAGAAGACACAAGTTTGCGCGTTAACCGCTAAAAAGAACCCCTTTGTCGTATCTCCTCAGTTTGAAGGCACTCCCCTTGTTGCCTCAGCCAGTATCGGAATCCTCGGCGTCGACATATCGAGTGACGTGCAGTTTCGTGGTCACTTGGAAGAGAAGGCCAAATTGGCCTCTAAAAAGCTTGGCGCGCTCAGCAGAGCGGGACAGTATTTCATGCCGGCACAACGCCTGCGACTTTACAAGGCGCAGGTTCGGCCGCAAATGGAATACTGTTCCCATCTCTGGGCTTGGGCTCCCCAATACCAGCTCCTTCCACTTGACTGCATCCAGCGCAGAGCGGCTCGAATCGTCGGCGACCGAGTGTTTTCCGATCGACTCGATACACTAGCACTGCGAAGAAATGTTGCATCTCTTTGCACTTTCTTTCGCATATACCATGGAGAGTGCTCTGAGGAATTATTCGGATTAATCCCAGCCGCCAAATTTCGTGAACGCACTACGCGGCAAACGTCCCGATATCTGGATGCTTGGCGGTCTACCACTTTACGTTTCAAAGGAAGTTTTCTTCCGCGTACAACCTCTCTGTGGAATAGTTTACCACCGGCGATTTTTCTGGACCGATACGACCTGGGGACTTTCAAGAAAAGAGCTTACTCCTTTCTAAAGGAGCAGCAACGCACCTGCAATTCCACTGATGTTGGGGTTGATCATGGGCGGCGGTAGTCACTTAACATCACGTGAGCCGCATGCTCGTTTGCCCCCTCTTCTATATAAAAAAAACTCTTGTTGCGAAGTAATTAATATTTTTATTACCCTTATTAATTTTTTCTTCCTTTTTCTGGTCAGGTCTGAATGTCGAATGTCGAATCACTCCTCTACTTGCTAAAAACCTCTCTGCCGCTCTCTCGATTATATATCTATAATACGAGTTTAATTTTATAATGTTACATTATATCTTTATCTACCTCCTATAGTAAAGCCTACCTATTGCAATATGTAAAACATAAGAAAGTAAACAAAGGAATACAAACTTAACATTATCCACAAGTTTTAACTATCTTATTTTTTAAGATCACTTCTAAAGTACATAATATAAACTTAACAATTGATTGTAAACTAAATAATTTAGTAAACATAAATTAATTAAAACATTTACGCTTATAAATATAACGTTTAATTACCAAAAATTATGATGAAATATAACAAAGCAATAGTTACGTGGTCCAGCCCCACTAGTAGCAACACAGTGCCCGTGCGGCCATCTCCGATATTGTCGTGCACGAGTACAATAGACAGATACAAGTATCTCTTGTTTAACAAGTCGAGATGACACAGTTAAAGTTACAAAATTTTGATTGGTTAAAACTAGAGTGTTTTATTTGAGTATGTATTGAGTTTAAAATTTCACAATGTATTTTTAACATATGGTACTATAATTACACATAAAATTTTTAAACCTTGTTAAAAAAGCGTACTATAAAATAAATTAATATATTGCGGACAATGATGTGTGGGAATATTTTACTCCACACTTGCGAGTTCCCTGGCTACTGATATTATATATTTAAAACTGACATTTAACATAATATTAATAGATATTTTGCATTGCTTTGATAAGTTGTAAACAAAATGGTAATTTTGCATTTGAAAAAGGCACTCTCGTTAAAAGATAACAGGAATTTGACATTGGTCGTATACAGGTTTAAATAATTCACACATCTCATACAATCCTGCTGCTGTATTTAGTATGCTAAGTGTAGTCAGTAGTAGTTACGTGAGTCTATCATCTATATATAAATAAATAAAAAATAAAAAACAAATTATAAAGTATTATACTAGTAGTAGTAGGTACACCACCTGCAGCTTTACAAGGCGCATATTTACATGAAATACTTTACCCATCTCTGGACCGGGGCTTCCCAGTGCCACTCGTTCTACTTGACCGCATCCAGCGCAGAGCGGCTCGAATTGTCGACAACCAGGTGCTTTCCGATAGGCTCGATTTACTGGCGTTGCGAAGGGACGTGGCATCCCTTTGCATTTTCTGTTGCATCTAACACGGGTAGTGCCCTGAGGAATTTTCGGCTTAATCCCAGCCGCCAAGTTTCATGAACGAACATCGTAGAAAAACTCCCGATACCATCCACACTATCTAGATGCTTGGCGGTCTACCACTGTATTCGTTTCACTAGGAGTTTTCTTGGGCGTACGACCTCTCTGTGGAATAGTTTCCGGCGATTTTTCCGGACCGGTACGATTTAGAGATTTTCCAGGAAAGAGCTTACTCCTTTCTAAAAGGCCAGCTACGTACCTGCAATAACTCTGGCGTTGCAGTTGTTCATGGGCGGCGGTAGTCACTTACCAACAGGTGAACCGCATGCTCGTTTGCCCCCTTCTATAAAAAAAGTATAGAAAAGCGTTAAATTATTTAAAAAATTATCTCATCATGTCCCTGCTGACAAATAGACAAGAATACTTATATATCGATGGTCTAGAAGACAAACATGGTAATTACACAATTTTGATAATTTAACATTTTAATACCAAATGTATTAAATGAGCATGCTCTACGGATCCCACTCATCCAAATGACATTATTCCGTCTCTTTCTGTCTAAACTGTATTTGTACATTCATAGTAAGTGATGTCATTTTGAAGCCAAAAAAAGTAATGGCAGTTATTTACCATCAGTTTAACTACAAAAAATGCTAAATAGATTTATGACATTTCGCTTGTGTTTACCATGATTGACAAATAAACTAAATATTTTTATTACGTTTGTCATTTTGTAACTTTCAATTTCCAATTATATTAAATGATGTAAATATTTTCAAGTGGCGGTAGAAAAATGGTTTAAGTGATCATAATACTACTGAAAACTCGTCAGCAAATAATAAAAAATATATTAGTGCTTTAAAAATACTAGGTCAGTGTAGACAAATATTGTAAATGATTTAACAACAAAGTTCTAAGTAAACAACAGGAGCCCGATAGTACTAAAGTTATTTGTACGTGTCGGCGTTTCCAACGAAAACGACCGATGTTCCAACAAAATCCCCAATGTCGACGGTGATGCGCAAAACCACTTTGCTGCCTAGGTACCGTCGTCTTCGCCTGCAGTAAACACCTAATTTCCCACAAATATAATGGATGCCGCCACTTCCACTACCTCGGTGTACGGTCGGCTCTTAAAGAAACCGCTTCCACAGCTAATGATCTATATATTGCTTTTAGCACTACTTTTGAACCACAAGTTAACACTTCATCGATTCCTTTGCAAGGATCATCAGTCACCACTTCCTAGTACATCGAATAGTACTAATATAGAGCAAATTATTCTCGATCTTCAATTGTCAGACTCAAATGATTCCCCTTACGTAGATTCTGAATCGTCTTACTATCCAGAAAACAACAAACCTGCAACTACATCTGATATATCTCGGGATGAGATTGAGGAAAAAATGTCCGAAAAAAAAGTAAAAAACCAAACCCAGATACGTGGAAGAGAAATATAGCAAAAAACAAACGTCAAAGCGGTAAATATTATATCAACTGAAAGGGTAACATTGTTAGCGCAAAAAAACTGTGTTCCTACAGAATGCAGTAAATGTAGATACAAATGTAATGAAAATTTTCCTGAAAATGTAAGAGCTGATCTCTGTCGTAATTTTTGGAGACTTGGAGAAAACAAATATCAAAAAATTTACCTTTCAACTCTTATAAAACACGCAAATATTCAACGTATAACGGTTGCAGCTACAAAACGATGCGCTATGTCTAGACAGTATTTTCTTTGTCACGAAAACACAGGTAGACAAAGAGTTTGTCAAAAAATTTTTTGCAACACTTTTGTTATAAGTGGAAGTGTAATTGATACTTGCACTAAACAGATGGGACCAAATGGCGTTTACGTGGGTCATGATCTACGGCAGGGACTTATTCCTGGAAACAAAACTTCAGAAGCCATTGCTTCTGAAGTTTTGTTTCCAGGAATAAGTCAGTATATAATAATAATATTAAACAATTTGTTATACTGCATATTGACATGTTTCCTAAAATCGAGTCCCACTATTGCAGAAAAGACTCCAAAAAAATATATTTGGAGAGTGACATTAATATGGCTCGCTTATATAAATTGTACAAAGAAGAATTCTGTCCAGAAAGAAATATAAATCCTGTTTCTTTGTATGTTTACGAGAAGATTTTCAAATCGTATGACCCACCACTAGCATTTTACAAACCAAAAAAGGATCAGTGCGCTAAATGCAATGTGTACAAGTGTGCTGAAGACAAAACCAGTTTACAAAGAGACTATGATGAACATAAAGCAAGAGAAAAAGAATCTTTGGAAATGAAGGCATACGACAAGAACGAAAGCATAGAAGGCGATGGTACGAAGCGTGTAATAACATTTCACTTGCAGGCAATATTGTCAGTGCCTCACACCGCTGTCTCTAAAATTTTGTACTTACAGAAATTTTTTACCTACAATTTTACTATTTTAGATAATTATCAAAATACAGGACTATGTTATATGTGGGACGAAAATAACGGAAAAAAGGCAGCACTGAATTGGTTCAATTTTATTTACTTGACGGATTTGCCTGAAAACGTAAAAACTGTTACATCCTTTTCAGACACCTGCAGTGGTCAAAATCGCAACAAATATGTCACATTGGCAGCATTGTATGCCGTAATAAATGTTCCTCGTTTGAAAACAGTTAACCTTAAATACTTGGAATACCTAGAGGCTGACTGTATACATGCAAGTATAGAGCGTGCCAGAAAGCATAAAAAATATTTACTGCAAGAGACACTTTAGTTGTCAGTTCTGCGAGATCCAGACCCAAACATTACAATGTGATCGTGATGAAGTACCCCGATTTCTATGATTTAAAAGCTTTAGAAAAGTCATTGAATTGCAACATGGTAAAAAAACAAAAATAATGAAACAGTAAAATGGATGACCATCAAATGGATACAAGTAAGAAAGGAGTCTCCGGAATCGGTATTTTACAAATATAAACTAAGTGATACGACTTTCAAAGAAATTGAAATTGCTGCATGTAAAAAAAAAGAAGAAGAAGAAATCAAGTATTTTTTAGTTTATACAAGCCGTTAAAAAAACCATACAATTTCCAGATACCAATTTCAAAGGCTAAGAAGAAGGATTTGATGACGCTGTTGAAGGATGGAGGGATCCCAAAAGACTACGTTGATTATTACACTAACATTCCTTCTATTTATGAAGAAAATATAATTAACGATTGTTCAGGCTCAGAGTCCGATGACTGACCTTAGAAATGTACAGTTTTAATCATCATCATCATCATCATCATTACAGCCCTTCACAAGTCCACTGCTGAACATAGGCCTCCCCCAAGCAATGCCACAAAGCACGGTCCTGAGCCACCTGCATCCATCGACTTCCTGCATATCTTACCAGGTCGTCACTCCATCTAGTGGGGGTTGCCCTACACTACGCCTACCGGTACGAGGCTGCCACTCGAGAACCTTTCTTCCCCATCGGTTATCGGTTCTTCGAGCCATATGGCAGGCCCATTGCCACTTCAGCTTACTAATTCTTTGGGCTATGTTTGTCACTCTGGTTTTACTGCGGATATCCTCATTTCTGAGTCTATCACGCAGAGAAACTCCGAGCATAGCCTTCTACATAGCTCGCTGAGCGACCTTGAGCGTTTTCATATGGCCAGCAGTGAAGGACCACGTCTCTGATCCGTAAGTCATCACTGGCAAAATGCACTGGTTGTACACTTTAGTTTTCAGAGATTGAGGTATACCTGACGAGAAGATATGTCGTAATTTCCCGAACGCTGCCCAGCCGAGTTGAATCCGTCGATTGACCTTAAGGTCGAAGTTGAACTTACTTAATCGGACTATTTGTCCCAGGTAAACGTACTCGTCAACAACTTCGAGCACAGTGCTCCCAAAAACAACCGGCATAGGTGTGACATGGACATTAAACATGATCTTTGTTTTGACCATGTTCATCTTAAGACCTATCCGTTGGGAGACACCATTGTGGTCATTGAGCATAGTGCTAAGGTCCTCCAGGGATTCTGCCTTAAGGACTATATCATCGGCAAATCGAAGGTGAGTGATGTACTCGCCATTGATGTTAATACCGTATCCTTTCCAGTCCAGTAGCTTGAAAACGTCTTCCAACGCAGCGGTGAAGAGTTTCGGGGATATTACGTCACCCAGTCTTACACCTCTCTGCAGTTGGATAGGATTCGAACTCTGGTTCTGTACTCAGATAGCCATCGTAGCCCTACTGTACAAACACTTCAGCACTTCTATATACCGACAGTCAACTTGACACCACTGAAGGCACTGTAGCACCGCCCAAATTTCGACGGAATCAAAGGCTTTCTCATAGTCCACATACGCCAGGCAAAGTGGCAGATTGTAATCTTCGGTCTTCTGTATAATCTACGGCAGGGTATGTATGTGGTCTATGGTACTGAAACCTTTTCGGAAACCGGCTTGTTCAGGAGGCTGGAAGTCGTCGAGTCTGGGTGCGAGACGATTCGTAATGACTCTCGAAAACAGCACGTAGACGCGGCTCAGAAGGGAAATCGGTCTGTAGTTCTTCAAGAGAGCGTTGTCGCCTTTCTTAAAGAACAAGACCACCGCACTTCTGCTCCACGCCTCCGGAGTAGTGCCACCATGGAGGACGGAATTGAAGAGCTTCTGAAGGACTTCAAGTACCGGTGTTCCACCCGCTTTCAGAAGCTCCGCTGTAATTCCATCCTCGCCTGAGGCCCTGCCGTTTTTAAGGTGCTGGAGAGCCATTCTAATCTCGCTCAGACTGACGTCCGGCATATCATCGGAATAGTGTCGGGTAAGACTTGTTCTTGGATCGTTACTCACACTTGCGTATGGCTCCAACGATGATGTGTACAGCTGCCCATAGAACCTCTCAAATTCACTCAAAATCTCAGGTGTCTCGGAAACGATGCTGCCACACTCAGTCTTCAGCTTTGACAGTTGGCTCTTTCTGGCAGACAGATCTCTGGCAAAGACTTTGGAGCCTTGGTTCCGCTCGATCGCTTCTTTAATACGAGCAGTATTAAAGTTGCGTAAGTCTCGCTGCATGCATTTGGAGATCTGTCTGTTCAGTTGCCTGTATGCTGTCAAATCTGTTGACGATTGCAGCCTCATCTCCTAACAGCCATGAGATTAAGAGTGTTTGTGTGTTGCGTAAGTCTCGCCACATGCATTTGGAGATCTGTCGGTTCAGTTGCCTGTATGCTGTCAAATCTGTTGACGATTGCAGCCTCATCTCCTGTCTAACAGCCATAAGATTAAGATTGTGATCGGAGTGTTTTTGTGTTCTCTTGTGGCAGGTCTTGCAGAACTTAGCTCCAACCGCATGGACAGTTTCCACGAGCATGTCATTCATATCGTCCACTGCATTGAAATCTTCTAAGAGCTGAAAGCGGTTACGTAACTCGAGCTGAAAAGTCTCAGGATTCTGGATCAGAGCACGAGGGGGACGGAGCATTGGCTTCATTAGACGAGATCTCTTCAACTTAACGTCAAGTTCAGTGTGCCTCTAACCATTTGGTGATCGCTGCCGGTTTTCACCCTTGCGATCACTGAGACATCAGTGAACAGTGGTCGTCATAATGAAGTCAATCTCATTTTTTGTCGAACCGTTGGAGCTCGACCAGGTCCACTTCCTGCGGGGCCGCTTCTGGAAGAAAGAGTTCATCATAAAGAGTCCCTCTTTCTCCATAAAGTCAGCCAGCTGCTGGCCCCTACGTTTCCGTTGCCCTACTCCAAATTTCCCTAACTTCAGCTCACCGCCTTCTCTTGTGCCTAGTTTTGCGTTGAAGTCTCCCATCAACACCGTGTAGTGGTTTGGGAGGAATGCATGGCTCTAGAAATATTCTCATACATTTCCTCCACCTCCTCATCGAGATGTGCCGAGGTTGGTACGAAGACCTGTATGACCTTCAGCGAATACCGTTTGGTGATTCTGAGTATCAGGTACGCGACCCTCGTCGACACACTCCCAATCTTTACAACATTGTTGACGAGAGACTTGTGGACACCTCCTTGGGACAGATGGTCATCCTGCTGGTGATAGAACAAGTTGCCGGACTCGAGAATTACGTTGTCCTCTTCGGACCTCAGATAATCCAATAATATCTCAGCGCAACTTGTCTACCTCTTCTTCCAGCTCCAGTATCTTCTCCTCAGTCCTCAGGGTGCGTGAGTTATACGTTGCCAGGTCGAGTCGTTGTAGGTGGCAACCGAACCTCCACCGGAGATTCTTAGCACCCCCTGCTCCGTCGTTACCAGGGTCGCCACAGTAGCCAGGAATAGCGGGGCCACCGGGGACTGGGGGCCGTTTATTTGCGTCGTTGCTTATGGGGGGATATTTGCCATAGTTGCCACGCTTGGCGAGCGGGTTGGCAACCGCGGTTTTTTATTACGTTATTGTTGTTATTAGGAAGATGCTGCTGCCCATCTCCTTTTTCTGTCCCGTACAAAAAAGAGATGGGCAACGTAAATGCATTTCATGGCACCAATCAACACGAGTTTCACTTTCAGAGAGCAAACGAGGGATTCATCGACAACAGAACTTCCTCATTCCAAGATGTTGATCTAGGGTGGTATGAATGCTCCGTGAACTAATACCCACAATCTTTTCGATGTCTGTTTATGTGATTTTTCACCAAAATCGCATATCACTCTTTTAACTAGTTATGACCCTGTATTTTTATAGAGTAAGGATGACAAACAAGCATACAGTTCACCTGAAGGTAAGTGGATGCTGTGGTTCATAGCCATTTATATTTTCCTTGATTAGGAATCAAAATACAAATGCGTCGTCATATCCCACAGGACTAAGATAGAATGCCTCGTACCCAATAAAAAGGGTCTCCCATTCTTTACACTCGCCATGCGAAATACAGCAGAATTAAGCTGCTATTTTAAGCTGGTATGCTGTGAGGTTGTTATACTATCCCGGTCAAGCTAACCTATTCATTCTAAAACTCGTTAAAAACTCGTCGTTTCGTCGTCCAAATATCGTCAAAATTCCACTGCAGAAGATGAGTCTGGTGCCATAAGGACCACACAAAATAAATGGTCACAGAAATTTCGTACTTCTTTTCTTCTTACCCTGGTCTTGGTGTTTACGTTAAGCGAAAATGTCGTCTCACAGAAGCCGAAAAATCTCCCTAGCACTTTACATTAGGACAAAATGAGGCGCTTAACGCACTATTTTTTAATTTAATATCATAATTTAATACCCCAATTTAATATAATAATACAAATTTAATTTTAATAAAATATAGCTTACTTAAAAAAACTAAAAACAATGAAATAGTTTAGAACAAAACCACCTTCCGACCGTGTAGTGGCGGTGTAAGAATAACCACAACCCCATATCATCCGGTGGGTGTCGTAAGAGCGGCAGAGAGATCAACTGCAGTTGCCAACCCGCTTGCCAAGCGTGGCAACAAATGCAAATATCCCCCGATGAGGTGATCTGTGGGGGAGGCCTAAGTTTGGCAGTGGGCATGAATAGGCTGCAACGGTAACTTACTGAAGACGGTATTAATACACGTAATATTGAAAAATAATAAGCTCCTACATCAAAAGTTACTTCGTGTTAATTATTTTATTTTTATTTATTTGAAGTACATATGCTTCTTCTTTTTGTTATATATATTTTATTTATTTTTGACCCTTATGAGTCGACTTAGGAATATCACAAATTCAGAATAACAACTAGAATATGGTCTAAATAGTATAAAAACAATTAATGACTTCATTCTCTATTTT